CCCCCCCCCCCCCCCCCCGCGGGGGAGAGAGGCGGGGTATGTGGGACTCTCTCCCCGAGTATCATGCCTCGGGGAGCCTATCCACTAAAACCCCTGCGGGCGTACCTAACCCGGACGATTGGGGTCCATCCGAAAATTTCACCTCTGTAGTACTTCCAGATGAACCCCCGTATTTATACGTTTATTCTATCCTTATATTTACATGACAGTGTGTTGACGCCGGCAACACACCCTCCCTTACCCTGAGCCCATCCCGTGGGGGTCATGGACCCCCGTCCATGGCCCCATGGGTCCCCCCCTCGGAGGGCCAGAGATTTCTCTGACTCGGCCTCCGAGTTTTTCTCCCTATTAACATTTACTTCTTTTGAGACCAATGACCCCACTAGTCGGTTCCATCGTCTGTCTCCTCCTGTTTGCCCCTAAGGGCATGTGGGCCGCGGGGAAGGTAAACTAAATTAAAGTTGGAGAAGCCCCCTCCCCGCGGTATCGATGTCCGTCCTTTGCAGACATCTGACCGCCCCGATAGTCGGTTCGTTCGCCCCACCTATCTCTGTCGACTGATCGTCCCAAACAAATTACCCCAGAAACGCCAGTCTACCCAAACGCTTTTTATCCCTACATAGTCCCACGGGACTATTCTATTTTAATTAATCCCTAAAATTCCTATGACCCTAAGTAGCAGGATTGAACCCCTCCCTGGCCCTTTTCGCCGCTTCCTTTTTGGACATTACCCTTTCGCAATACGTTAAAATCGCTTGTCTCCCTTCCTCTTGCCTCATTGCTCTTATAATTGCTTTAAGTGAAAGATCCACTCCAATCGCCCCTTGAAGCTCCCTCCGTTCGTTATCCCAAGCCGGACAATAACCCAGGGTATGTCTTGCCGAATCATTTAATGCATCACAGTGCCAACACCTGTTGGTGGCCTCCCTCCCGATTCGACACAGGTACCTCCCGAAGCATCCATGCCCCGAGAGGACCTGCGTCGACCGGAAAGTAAGACCCACTCTGGCCTCTACCCATTCCTTGAGCTGCTCCTTAATCGCTCCCAATATCGACTCTCCCTCCTTTTCTATCCGATCAATCCATGTCCTTCATTGATCTATTAGCTTCCTTTTGGCCATCTCCTTGATTGTATCGATCTCCTTCCTTTGAACTGGGTTGTTTGCCAACCTGTCTCTCCTAAGATTTGAGATCCTTTCGTATACTTCTTCGTAACTAACGGCCTCCAGCTCGAGCGGTGGGACCCCTGCCAAGACCGTATTTACGGCGAAAGATGTGGTCTTATAGGTCCTTACCATGAGACCTGTTATCCTTCGCTGAGTGGCTCGTAGGATCTGGATGATTCGGCTACTCTTCAACATCTCGTAAGCCCATATGGGAGTACCATATAGGACCATGGAGGAAATTACATTTGTGCAAAGTCTCCTTACCTTCTGATTAGGGCTACCCAGATTGCATAGAAGCCTACTTAGCGAAAGAGGTGCTTTCTCTATCCTGGGCGATAATTCCTCGAAATGAGAAACGAACGTCCACTTACTGTTTAAAGTGAATCCGAGGTACTTCATTTTTGTGCCCACGTTTATCTCTATTCCTGCCACATTAATAACCGTATTGGCTGGCCTGTTCCTCTCGTAGAATCCTACTATTTCAATCTTATGTGGAGCTACTTCTAGGCCCATATCCTGAATCCTTTGAGTTATTGTACCCACCGCCAGTTCAGCTTCCATGGTGGCTTCCTCCCATTCCTCGCCTGTGGCAAAGACTAATGTGTCATCTGCATAGAACAATATTAGACATTCCGGAGGTAGTTCATCCCTTTTCATCACTTCATTGAAGCCTATGTTCCATAAAAGGGGATCCAAGGTTGAACCCTGGGGAACCCCTCTTCGCACCTCTTTTCCTCCAGTAGTGCCATCCTCTTTTGGGAAGGTTAGTTTCCTACTATCCAAGTAATCACGGATTGCTCTCCTTAAATACAACGGAATTCTATGTCTATTGAGAGTTGTGTCTATCACTCCCCAGGGTAAGGAATTAAAAGCTTTTTTGATATCCAAAGATACCCCTATCACCACTTTTCCTTCCTTAAAGGCATCTTCCATATATTTGTCCTGACTATCGTATTAATGGTTGTCCTTTCTAAACCCAAATTGGGTATTACTAAGGTTGGGTCCTCTTCCCATTTAGGTGATCTATTATTCTCATCGAGATAATCCTCTCTAGAATTTTCGCCTCGTCATCGAGACGACAGATTGGTCGATAACCCGCTGCCTGATCATCTGGCTTGCCTTGCTTCCTAAGAAGAACTAATTTAGCACTTTTGCAAATATGAGGAAAAATTCCTCTTGTTAGGCATTCTGTGAATACCCTCCTCAATTCCACCATCATATCTTTAGAGGCTAGTGCTCATGCTTTGGCTGGTATTCCGCTAGGTCCCGGAGCCGCGTTTTTCTCCATCATTCTTTTAATGGCCAGCATTATCTCTTCATGAGAGACTTCTAGCTCTGCGGACCATGAGGATACTCCTTCCATTGGTAATTGTGGTTCAATCCATTCGTCTGATTCTCCTGGTGGGAACAGCCCTGTTAATACCCTATCCAGAGTTTCTCTATCCATGGACTCAGTATATGGAGGCGTCCATCTCCTTAATTTCCCTAAGACTACTTTGTAGGGTCTGCCCCATGGATCTTCATTCAAGGACCTCACAAATTCCTCCCAAGATTTCGCTTTGGCTTTTCTGATCGCCTTCCCTAGAGTCTCTAGCTTGTCTGAATTCTATCAACGTTTGCTGGACCTCGAATTCATCCTGCCTGTGTATAGGACGTTTCCTAATTCTCCTGAGTCTTGTTCTTGCCATTGTTAAATTGGATCTGAGAGTATCCAGCTCCTCATTCCACCATGGCATCGCTTTTCGTGGCTTAGGAACTGACCTTGGCATCGCCACATCGGAAGCCTCTGTGAGAGTTCTTTGTAGCTTTTCCGCCTGTTCTTCTATTTCCTCACTCGTAACTTCCTCCGTCTGTATCGTCTTCGGCCAGTCACTCACCAGAATCGCAGTCGTGAATAGGTCCTCCTCCATCTTTTTAATTGCCCATCTTCTCGGGTGCGGGGCTCTCAGTCTTCTGTTATGTAGTACCGTATTAGAGATTGTCATCTCTATATATTTGTGGTTTGATTTACTCTCCCCGTCCGATACTATCCACGATCTCACTCTCTGAGCCGCCACAGGGTTTGCAAAAGTTAAGTCCACAATTGATTCTCCTGTGCTTCTAACACATGTGCTACGGCCCCCTTGATTTAGGCAAATCAGGCCAAGTCTGCTGGCCCACTCGACGATCATCCTTCCACGTTGGTCGTTTACTGGGGATTGCCACATGTCCGGCTTGGAGTTAAAATCTCCCGCTATGAAGATCGGTTTATTTGTTATTTGTTGGATCTCCCTCTCCAATTCGTTAATGGCCTCTTCGAAGTCCCCTATATCCAGGCTTGGAGGTAGATATGTTTCAAAAACCATCATATCTCCCCAGCGAATTGCTGTGAAGTGTTCTCCTTTAATATATGGAGTGCATGGCATTGCATTCCTCGTTTGTCTCCATGTAATGTGGCAATAGATTTATTATCATTGGCTGTCCAATGTGGATGTTCTCTTGGCACCACATAAGGTTCTGAAACGATTGCTATTGCAAAGTCCCCCTCCGCCATCGACTGCATCAGCAAATCATGTGCGTCACGGGCATGGTTAATGTTCGCCTGTATTATATAATTAACCATTATTGTGTCCTATTGGGATTCCTCCATCCCCTTGTTCCTTCCTATTTTCTTTTTTTTCTTCTTCATTTATCCAGTCGTGATCCATTTTTGGCCATTCTTCTTCCATTGTTGTTGTTGTTGTGGGTTTTTGGGTGCCCGTTATTACTCCACCGATATCCATCTCCGTATCCATTTCCATTGGTTCCTCCTGTGTGGTTTTTTCCGTGTCCAGCCTCTCGTTGACACTACATTCAGCCATATGTCTAACTACACTAGTTTCTCTTTCCTCTCTTAGCTCCCTGATATTTACAGGGTTTTCTTCTCTTGTAGCTTCCAATTCCATATTTGTTGAATTTTTTTCCTTCTCCAAGTAGTTTTGAGATTGTATGTTTCCCCTGTTTTTACTTACTCTGTTGTCTCTCTTCTTCAATGGAGGAGGTTTGCATGCCGGGCCTCCCATTCTATGGTCCGCTCTGAGATTCCTATCCGAGCATATCATGCAGTAGACCTGCGCAAGGCAGTCCTTCGCCACGTGTCCACCCTGTTCACACCTATAGCAGGTTGCTCCCCTATCTTGCTCGTTTTGGCACTGGCTCCTGACGTGTCCATTTTCTAAACATCGATAACATTGTGTAGGTCTTACTGGTAACAGCTCCACCCGAGCCATAGTACATCCTATCCTTATTCTTCTATTCTTCGTAACCGCTTTGGCTACAGCGAGTGGGCAGCGTAACCATATTGTGCCCAGACCATTTAACGCTTTGGTAATGTTGTAATGTAGCTTTATCATCTCTCCTGTGCATTTCCCAATTGTGGAAATGACTTACAACATGTCTTCTTTTGAGACTGACTCCTCTAAATCTCTAATTCTTATTTCTGCCGTTTTCTCTGGTCTGGATATCATAACGTTTTCCTGTTCTTTAAGAACCTCCTTCAGTCTGTCCGCCAGCATATTTGCCTTCTTTGCCCCATCTACTCCAGGTATTTCTAGTAGTAGAGCTCCAGTCCTAGTTTTCCTCGGTCTGATCTCTTGAATGCCTAACATGTCTATATCCACATTTGATTTAGCTATTCGCATTGTCTCCGCGTAACTGGCCTCCCCTCTACAATTAATTTGTACTGCCGCCGTTTTGGGGATTCTTCTATTGTCTCCCATTTTCTTAGGCGTATTGTTAGTACTAGTTGAGGGTGTCGGTTTCTTTCTGCTATTGTAACTTGTTATTTTTTTTGTCCTGATTCTCTTTTAGTTTTTCTTCCCACCACTTTGCTCCATGACGATTCTGTTTGGTTCCTCATTTTAAGCACAGACACTTCCCGTTTTAGAGTTCTGACCTCTTCAATTTGTGCTTCTTCCTTTGTGAGTGTAGCTCTCTCTTTGAATACTTCAAGAATCCCCATTGAGGATTCCGCTGCTACTTTAAGGCTTTTTTGAAATGTACCCTTCAAATTACTGGATGATCTAGCAATTCTTAGTACCTCCGTTAAATTAGCATGAACCTTTTCCGAAAGTTCCTCATTTGTCAATTCCGCCATCTGTTCTTTTATACCTTCCAAGTTTATTTTAGCTTTCTTGAAGAGCTCCTTTTCGTTGTATTCTCTAATTAGCTTTTCTCTTTCTAGCTGAAGAGTCTCTTCTTTAGCTTCATTATATCTTAGAATGGCCTCTCTCCTGCTTATGTATTCTCCTGTGGTACTGCTTTTATTGCTGTCGGAGATCGAACCTGATCTATCCCTCTTTCTATTGCCCACTGATCTTTGTGAGCCTGTTCCCATAACATTAATTTTCTCCGGAGGAGAGGCATCTGAGTCCTCTTCCATGATCATCTTCCTATTCCTATTTTTGATATGTTCTATTCCAATGTCACTGTCTGATGAAGTCATTTCCACAGCTTCAGTTTCCATGGCTGAGGATGACTCCACACCTATACTGTCCCTATTAGAATTTCTTGTAGATCTTTGCCCAGGTTTTCTAAAGAACGACGATGGTGACACTTTACTTTCTTTAAATGTCCTAGATTCTTTTTCCTGTCTATTACCTTCCTGACCTACTCTCCTTTGAGAGGGTCCGGCTCTTCCCTCTTCTTCTCTATTCAATTTCCTAACGTTAGAATTTCCCTTCTTCCTCCTATCATCCTCCGATCCTCTACAGTCTAAGTTTTTATTAGGTTCCATTTTTAATTAATTCCCACTACCACATCGGCTACGCAGCCCAGGGTGTACCCTATCTTTCTAAAAACGAATGATCCCCGAGTTCCCACGGGGGGACTGCACATACCTCTGGCCTACGGATATGCATCGCAGCGCGGGGTTCCTGCCCCTTACTCCCTCAGGCTATGGTGCAAGTCCTAAGTTTTTCGGGGGTCCCCCGGCTCCGACACCGAGACCACCGATGTGGCCGACGCCACGCAGGGGAGGCCCTACGGACGGTTTGGGTAACTGAGTCGATGCCACCTCAGCACCCTCCCCGTCGCAGCGGCCAGTACACCGACTAGGCCGAGACAAGTCCCATTCCAGTCGGCAAAAACTCCTCCCAGCCACCCATTTGATCATAGGCACCATCATGGGATGCTCGGTCCCTACCTTTCCTCCCCCCGAGTACCACCCAGGCACGAGAGGTGAGCGGGATGCGCCGAGGGTATGCCTCGAAGAGCGCTCTGTGCCGCGCGGGGCACATAAGCCCCCCCCGACGCTCCCCACCTCCTCCCCCCGAAGACGCACCCGGGAATCAGGGAACCTCCACCGAATGAGCAGTACTCATCCAGTGTTGGCTCCCCGCCTACGCTGTAACAGGAGGCCGGCAACCCCCACAGGAGTCGCAAGGCCGGCCGTCCGCCAGCGAGAGCCACCCCCCGCAGCCGAACACTTAACGCCGCCGAGGGCGACTCCCACCCCTATTCTAACAATTCTGACGGGTAACAAGCGGAACGCTTAACACCGGGTGGCCCTGCTCCCGTGCCCATATCAGAGACTCCCACGTGCAATGGCAAACGCCCAGGGGAGACTCTGTCTATATTCAACGCTCATGATCAACGCCAGCTAGAATCTCTTTCCAAGACACTCCATGTCCCACGACGGACAAAACCGCCCGAACATGAAGTCATATTCTAAGTTGTTTAACCTCTTCCCCGTTAGTTATCAGGACTATACCTGAATAATTCAATGTATCTTTCACTCACCCACGACTTCTAGGCGGCACCCCTTTCGCCCGAGTGGCGAGCCGATGCATCGCCCTTTAACCGCGTCTCCACCAGAGATACTCAGTGTGCAATGGGCAGTAGTTCATGAAGAACGACCACTCACTGGGCAAGCCTGGTGGTGAATAGCTGGG